TTCTGTGCAAAGATTTTTTGGGGGAAATTTCCAAGCCCCCAACAAACAAAGATTTGGCTTTTGTGGAAGTTCCCTTTTCCATTGTGCTACAATGACATTTACGACGACACTTCTAGGACACCTTGCACGTGCTCAGAAGCGAAAAACAAACTTGCGGTCACACGATCTTAAAATATCGGGAAAAAAAGACAAGAAAATACAAGAGTGAAGAGAATTTCTCACATATAAAAAAAGCTCCTGATGACCTGTGTCATCTTGGCTTGATAGGAGTCACATAATGAGAAAAATTCAGAGATTTCCCTTTACGCGTTAATAGGTAATGACAACTTATTCAGAATGTTTTAACCAAACAATTACCGTAAAGCCAGCTAATTCTTGGGATAAACAGTTTGAAAATCTCGTTTCATCACTACACTTATACTGGAAAAGAAACACCTTTTCGTTCAGAAATAGCTAAAACGACCTCGAGCAAACAAACACGCTCTTTCTAAGTAAGAAAAGAAATCAAAACGCTAGAAATTTTCCGAACGCTATTTGCATACGTGTCGCCTGAATTGATTAGAACACATGGATGCTCTCGAATCAATATGCTGTTTTCTATTATTCTGAGCAGTTTATTGCGATTGTTACCTCACGTTTTCTACGAGCCGTACAATTCGCATTCGGCTTGCTATGTATGGCTTTGCTCGTTCTTAAAAATGAATGCCAGTTTCTTAAGACGCTGCTGTCTGATCTGGAAGCGTAAACAACACATATCTGGGACATTTGGTCAGATCAAGTAAGTTGCAGGGTAACAATAAGTCCTTCGTCAAGCGCTTGAAACGCTTGTTCAGGTTTAAATCTTTCAAATCGAAGCAATCCAAAAATAAATTAAGCTCAAAATAACGAAATCCAAGTTTATGATAACTAAACAAGAGGTTATTTCGATGGTTCTTTATTAAATATACACCTTCAAATTTTCTTTGAACACATGCAGTCCACCGAACGTGTTCTACACAAAAAATGAATAGGTTGCGCTGTGCTCTAAAGACGGCGAAATACGAGAAACAAAAACCCATATCTCGTATATCGCCGCTTTAAAGGCGGTGACGATATGTTCGATACAAAAACTCTCAACTTGGCTGATGTTTCGAGTTGTTCACCTTGCGTGATCACCTTGTTGTCGGTTGAGAATAGTAGAGAATGGGCCTACTTTGAGCAACAGATTTTGGCTTTGCTTCTCGTTCCTCGAACTCAGAACTTGTCATGCATAAAATTTGCTCACATTTCGCGACAAGTTGAGGGTTTGTGTATTTAGTGAAGTGGTCTCAAAGCTTACCACATGAAGCCTTCCATGTTACGACCGGGGTTGCGACCAAACCAACCTTGAATCCGGATAAAAAAACAACAGGAGCTACCATTGGCTACAATGTAATTACCTGTAGCCAATAACAACTTGCGTTACAATTTGCGACTACCATGAAGAAGAAGAAGAAGAAGAAGAAGAAGAAGAAGAAGAAAAAGAAAAAAACAAAAACAAAAACAAAAAAACACCAGACCTAGTTTCTAACGCGGATTGCGTCGCATCCGCTTAATAATTCTTGAAATGACTTAAAGCAGTTTTTGAAAGCTCAAGTAGAACATGTATCAAAGCAAGTAATACAAAAATCAAACTACAGGTTGCCTATACAGATTGCCTATAAATTTCAAAATGAAATATAATTAATTTTTATTGGCACTGGAGCATTGTTATTATATTGACTTCTACCTGTGGTTTCAAATAATTACTACAGTCTGTTGCACAATAAAGTCATTAAATGAGAATTCACCATATTCACCAGTCCCGAACTGACACCGTCAGTGGAGTTGGTTACAATAGCAGAGCACCAGCGCGCGAGGCGCGCTAGCGAAGCTCTGTGGATAAACATTTGGCTAAAACATCAAACCGAGAAAATCTGGTTATGACGTCACCGTGCGAGCGTCCATTCTTCCGTACAGACTCTGGGGGACGGAGAAGGAGATTTTAAGGCAACCCGAACGGGAAACCTCAAGAACGACACTTTTTGTTGGCGAGAAATCGCGCGTACGTGATACTGCGCCATTGGACAGCCCGCGTTTATCTGACGAAAAATAACATGAAAATCGCATTAACCATTCTGAAAGAGAGGGGTTTTCAGAGAAACGGTTGTTCCGGAAAACAGAAGTTTTCAAGAGAATACTCATTTTTGTTGTTAAGTCAATTATTTGTATTAGTAGGGAAAGCCGCTTCGTAGACTGCTAAAATTTCTTCTGTTACGGTTAGAAATCAAGAAATTCAAGGTCAAAAAACCATGTTATGCTTTGAAGGCGAATAGGACCCGATTAGCTAAGTTTATATTTGACGCTCGTGTGATTTAATCGTTTCCGGTACACATGCCACGTGGGTAAATCAATCTGTTGCTGTATTTTTCAGCGAATTTGGGAACAATGAGCGCGGTTATATTTTGGTACTCAAATTTTGAGTCTTCAGCAGTGCTACATGGAACTAGACCGAATAGGACGCCAATGAACTAAACATGTGACTTTTGCTTTGTTTCGTCGCTAAGTGATCAAAAGAAGAAGACTTAGCCTCCAGGTTATTCAACAGTCTGCCAGATAACATCAAGCTTGAGTCAAATGCTAAAATATTTGCGAGGAAAGCTTATAAGTTTTTGAAAACTAAGGCCGAACTCAGATCAGATTGTTTTGAATCTACACAATTAATTAATTTTTTACATACTCGTGTTTTCCACATAGTTTTTACTTGTAAATTATACTGATATATCTATATGTATTTTTAATTTTGAGTTAGCATATGATGAATGTAGAACTACCCTGTAGAAAAGTCATCATTAAACCTTCTTATTCTTATTATTCTTATTCTTATTATCATTATTATTATTATGATTATTTTTATTATTATCATTATTATTATTATCATCATTATTATAACTTCGAATCATGTGGTTAGACAGGTGCGTGTGGGTGAATCATGGATCTAGAATTTGGAAACTGAATAAAACGTGGTTATTTTGTGTTACTCAAATTGTGAGTCTTCAGTGTAACCGGGAGTCAGACCAACCAGAACATTCGGTCTCACTGTGCATGCTGAGTCCATTGATCCACGAAGGTAGAAGTTTTGAGAAAATGTTGGAAACTGCTGAAGTTTAGCAAACTGTGAGCCAATTGTCGCCATCACTTTATGATGAGCTGACAAATTAAAAACGATCTTTTAAAACACTGCTACTTAGCTTTCCCTGGAAAAACAAGTATTTTTTCCGTTTTTTATTGCTTGGGTTCTCCACGTTTTGAGTCTTAGATTATTAGCAAATTTACAAAACAAGATTTGCCATTGCATCGTACAACCTACATCGATGAAGTCCATAAAGCATAAGATCAAGTAAGATAAAAATGCTGGTTCACAGGAAGCATGTTTCTTTAGAATTTGATTGAACCGTCAGTAAATGTAGAGAGAAACAATTGAAGCGGATGTTCTCTGCGGTGTTTTCTTTCCATCTTCGGGTTATATTCATTTGTAAAGTAAATAAAGGAGATCTATTTGTCAGTCCGAGTGATAATACTCCGTGGCTAAAACTACGGATATCCGTGTTGTGATAAACCTGCGACAAACCACTTCCCTGAAATTGAAAATCGACGCAATTTGCGCGAAGAAACCGTAAATAAAAATATAGTCTCATCTACGACTTAAACATGTCTTTAATCTCAAGGAAAAGAGCAAAGAACAAGAAAATTAAAATAAATCCCTCTTGATACGTTTCCATCCCGGAAGACCCTGTGAAAAAAAAAAGGAAAAAATATATAAATATATAATTTTTTTTTACCTTCAAAATGTTCTTTTTAATATCGCCACTGTTATTTATTTAGATATCATCTTTCTAAAAAGCTAACAAATAATAAGTTTGAAGCTTCATCGAGGAAGAAATTAATTTGAAATCTGTCTGGTAGCTCTCAGAATTTATGAGTGACATACTTCCTGAAGTTATAAAGCTAAATAAAAACCAATAGCTGGTCTATAGGTTTGTATCTTTCTCCTTATTTCCATGTTTATTATAATTGACAAATAAAAGAGAATGTAGATACTTCCAATTCGTAGCATTGTTTTCAGAGAATATAACCAGTCAGTCTCGGAGCCTTTGACAGTAACCGGTTTCTGCTTAGCAATCCGCAGTTAAATTGTCTTCCCAAACTGTCAATGATGTGGACTGACATGTTTGAGAAATTACTGACAAGCGCTGTAAAAGGCCTTATATTCATTTTTTAACATCGATATATCAGTTCTTGTAGTAAGAATTAAGCCACACTGAGAAGTTCCGACAGAGCAAGTTAACAGATTCTAGCTCAAAGTTTAGTCGAATACCAATCTTCAGATCAATATGACAACTACAAACTTTACTGGGGATGGACAGCAGAAAACAGTGGAACAAGTATTTTGTTCATCAAATTTAACTGCTGGACTACACGGCCAATTGACATTTCTTTCAATTTTAAACTCTTTTCTGTCTGTTACTGCATTTCTTGGGAATGTTCTGATCCTAACTGCTCTTCGCAAGGAGTCCTCCCTTCACCCGCCGTCCAAACTCTTGCTTCGCAGCCTTGCAACAACTGATCTCTGTGTTGGTCTTACTGCAGAGCCTCTCACTGTAAGCTATTGGATGTCTGCAGTGAATGAACATTGGGATATTTGTCGCTTCGTATTACACGCAAGTCTGTTCACGGAGTCTATTTTGTGTGGGGTGTCTCTGTGGACACTGACTGCAATAAGCGTGGACAGACTTCTCGCCATGTTGTTGGGTATAACATATAGACAAGTTGTAACTTTAAAGCGAACCTACGTGATCGTAATTACCATTTGGGTTGTGTCCATCGTCTTACCAGCACTGCAATATTGGAATCCCGTTGTCATCTTATGGTACTGGATTATAGTTATACCACTGTGTCTATTAACATCGATCTTCTCTTACTCAAAGTTATTCCTGGCCCTCCGTCATCATCAAAACCAAGTACAGGGCCATGAACGACCGAACCAAACAAATCAACTGAACACAGCGCGATACAAAAAGGCATTATCCAGTGCAATATGGCTGCAACTGACGCTGATCGCTTGTTATCAACCCTATGGCGTAATTGTGGCTTTGTTGACTAACAGTGCACTATCCTCAACTGTTTATCACGCTTGGATTTATACACACACCTTAGTTTACCTAAACTCCACCTTAAACCCGATTCTTTACTGTTGGAAGATAGATGAAGTCAGACAAGCAGTGAAAGACACAATCAGACAAATGCTTTCCTATGGTTTTTCGACCTAGAATCTGTGGACCTTTACGATAAAAATGATAAAATAATAATAATAATAATAATAATAATAACAACAACACCAATAATAATAATAATAATAATAATAATAATAATAATAATAATAGTAGTAATAATAATAATACTCGCTTTCAGTCCGACACTGATCAAATGCGCCGGTGGAAATCAGATTCTTCTGTTCGTCAAAGTGACTAGCCAACATTTCAATTCTCTCTAGTTTAAATAGATTGGTCAGCAAACACAAGGCTAGACTTCTAATAAAAAGTACATAGACATAAATTAAAAAACAAACAAACAAACAAAAAAGATATGTATGCACAAAACTAATTAAGAGGATGTCTCAATTGAAGATTGTAAAATTACTGTTGCTCGTTGAATATATACCATTTTTGTACGACAGTGCTTTCCACGCTTTTGAAGTAGTCGCGACTTTCCCAATACATAGAAACCGCTGGAAGCGTTGGAACCTGTTGGAGAGAGTTGAAACGTGTCAAAATTGCTTGGGACAGTTAATCCCTTTTTTAGCTTGATCAGAAACTATAAACTGCGCATGCTAACGCTAATGAGGCTAATATTGTATGCAAAGATTCCAGGTTACGCCAAAACAGTTATAATGTACATTGTTGTCTTTGGAATGTCCTGCGTTTTTCCAGATTGGTGATGATGTATACACCGCCAGTTTTGTGGTGTGTATCAGCTAGGCGTAAATGATAACTTGATAAAAAATACATATATAATAAAATATCAGAACGCGCACTACAACAGGCTGCGTTTGCCTTAAGCAAACAACCAAAGTGGCGATCGATAAGACCGCTGCACTATTAACCGCTGTGCCCGAGGTGAGTGGAATAAATAATTATTGTTTGAGGTCGATCTATTCATTTGGACAACTCTGAATTCTCAGTTCTTCGCGCCGAGAAGTAAAGTTAAGATCATTCCACCTTCAGAGAAATATATATCAGTCTGCCCTGGAGAGAAACTAATTTCTCCTTACATGTTTGCAGGTGTTTTCTTCTTATGTTAAAAAAGAACAGAAATTATGGTATTAATTTGTAATTTAAAAAAAACGTTGGATGAATCTTAGCGAAATCATCATTCTAAGACATAGGCGATTTCTTGTGGGCGATATCTGGGACTGAATCAAGTATTAATCTTAAGAAAATAATTATGATAATACAACTGAACAAAACAGCAACTGAAAAACGTTTTTATTTTCCTCTGTAAATCAAATGATGTGAAATTGAGAAAAAATAAGAAAGAGGGAAAAAGAACGAAAAAAAAAGAGACCTGGTAAGTTTTTATATATATATATATCATTTTTTCTTTAACGAAACTGCCAAAATTAATACCGAAGGATTTAGAAACTGGGCGGAAATGCGCAGAATAAAAAGCAATACATATAAATTCATCACATGTAGCCAAGAGTTAAAACAGAAATTGAAATCAGGTTAACTTTTTTTTTCTTACTTTTAAGTTTTCGATTTATAACACCTCCAAAGCTATCAGCGAAACCTCACATTTCAAGCAACTGAATACAATGTGGGCGCTCCGTAACTTGGGCTCCTGATAGTAAAAAAGCGACAGGATTCAATATTTCGGACCGCATATATTAGCATTTTGTGTGTACAGTGACATACGGACCGATCTGTTTGAACTTTCTAAGCACGGTACACGTATAATAAAGAGAAAGTACTGTTGCTCTTTAGAGCAACGGCAAAACCAAAACAAAAGAAACATCGCCTCTACGAGTTTTTAACACCTTGAATTGCAAGTATGATATGTAAGAGTGTAAGAAAATAACCCGCGAAAGAGCTGTCCTGACAGCTCTTATTGCAGGGACGGGGTGGAAAGGAAAGCTTGCACACATCACTTAGGGTTTTGAATATCGCGTCCAAAATGTGGACGCAAACAACTGGTGGAGATTATGTTAGTATAGGTAATCATACGGTTTCGAGTTCAATTTGGAATTAATTTGCACGAGCGAGTTTTCCAAAAAGCTGAGCCGCTTCGGCGAGTGCAATTTCAGCTTTTTGAAAAACTCACGAGTGCAAATTAATTCCAAAGTGAACGAGAAAAATCGTATGATTACTTATTAATAATATAAACATGAAAAATTCGAAGTGCCGGAAGATTTTTCTTGAAGCCATTTTTTC